AAAATACTTGAGAGTAAATTTTGATGGGAAAAAAATATATTGGTGAATAATTTTCATTAATAAAATTTATAAAAGATAAATGGGTGATAGTTGACAGTCTTAATTTATGTCTAAAGAGAATAAGATAATTATATTATCAGGAAGGCCGAAGTGGTTAAAATATCTTTTTAAATATTTCTTAATTATCAGGCTTGGAGTGAGTCGAAAGAGGGGGAGTGAGGGGGAGAAGACTCACTGTGAGACACAGAGATTAAAGACAAAGATGGACGAGCTTAACGAAACGCGTTTCATTCATTCCAGAGATTCCTAATAGCCTAACACGACACTTGGACTATGACTACACATTGTAATAGTATTGAATTGTGTTTTGTCGTATTGTATATTGGTCCACAAAGTTTTGTAGCGCCAAGTGTGTCATTTGAATGCGTTGGAATGCCGACAGCTTCAGGCGGCGCATTTTAACTTTAGGTCTTAGTCTGTTGTATTGTATATTTAATTACCAGTTGAGCTAACTGTACTTCGCTACACTAGACTTTTTTAAACGTTTTAATACTTTTGATCCGACAAATTTATTTTTAATCGTTCATCTTATCATTATTATTATTATTATCATCAATTTTTTAATTGGCTCCCATCGTAATTGCTTCAGTGGAGCTTCTTCATACTTTATTGTTCAGTTTATTGCTTGCGTTTAAAATGATGTACATATTTCGAAAAGTCGCTCATGTCCGAAAATATCCGACCGACCTTTTACTTTTACTTTAGAAATTTTGGGCCCTATCAGCTACACAAACCATGGGAAAGAATATTTAATGGGATTTCACAAAAGAAAATTTATGACCGGTAATAAAGTTTTGACTTTTTATTTTAACTTTAAGATATATCTTATATATATAAGTATTATGTTATACCAAAAAAGAATTTATTCGCCGAGTAAATGGCTGCCCTGTGTACGCTACATGTATTGATAATTATTGACAAGAATTTACTGTGTACATAAGCCGAACAAAATTAACGTGTATTTAAATTCACGCTGACGAAAGCACGCGAAGGTTTATGGACACAGCTGATTAATCAACGTTACTTAAAACGTTTTCATCCAACCATCCGAAATATTAACAATTGTCTGCCATTTTGTCACTATTTTAATACTTTAGTTTTCAAAATGGATCCTTTTTGCAGTTTTTACAGATCAGTAAGCTTAAAAAAATCTTTTTTAAAAATCTCGAATTTATTTTATCAATTTTGAATATTTTTTTTTTAAATAAATTGATATTAAAAAATATTTTTCAAAAATTAAAATTCAGAGTTTTTTTTTAAACTTTATAATGTTTAATTTTTTTTTATAATAATTTATTTGGAAAATTGTTTGATTTTTGTGAATTCAAGTTTAAAAATTTTTTTCTGCAATTTTTTTTTTATAATTTAAAGTAAAGAAAAAATTTTCAAAAATAAAAAAAAAGAAGCCATTTACTTGTTAAGAGTTGGTTAAAAAAAAGAAACTACTTCAGAATCTAATACCCGAAATAATTTTGTCGAAATAAAGAGGAATTTCGGTTTTAAAGACACTGGGCACGTATTTAAAAAAAAAAAAAAAGTAAACAAAATAATGTACAATATTCTATTTAGAATATAAATATATTCTGTTGAACAGTGCGGTTGAGTTTGTACTGCTTTCTAAATTTTACAAAGCATTCCTGAATATATAATTAACTCAATATAATCCAAGTATGTAAAATTGGCTTGGAATAAAAATAATTGATCGGTAATCAATAATAAAAAGTGTTGAGTGTCTACAGTCTAAAGTCTCTCAATAAAATTTAATTAAATATGGAATTCAGTAAAAGGTAAAATATGAGATAATATAAATTGGCACCAGTGTAGAGGAATTGGTACCAAAGAAAGCCGAAGAATGAATTGTTCGCTGCGAGTCGCTTAGTTGTGTGTAACATTCTTCCGAGTGTACGTACATGTGTGTAAGCATGTGTTATACATATGTGGATGTGTGAGTTTCAGTACGAGGGCTTTTGAGTATATGGCATTGCTTCTTCGGGCTTCGGTGTGTGTGCTTATGCTCACATGTGTATTTACACACACGAATCCGGGCTGAGCTCAACTCAAGTGGCCCTCCGGTACGCCCTAATAAAGCAGAAAGGAAGGCCGCTTCCAGGAACTATACCATCAAGATATGCGGTGGTCTGGTTCAATATGTGGCGCCAAAGGGCCACGACGGTCGTTACGATTACTACATAACAACACATCCTTTTCACGCTATTATATTATGTACTTCTATATATGTACATATTTATTTCCCCAGACTATTTTATTATTAAATTTCTCACGTTTTATCATTTATTATTTCTTTCTAAGACTTTTTCAATCTAGAGCTAAAATTAGTAGACTTAACCTGTACTTTTTATAATCGTAGCCATTTTAGAGGACCCTCCATCTTGTTGAGAGTCTAAAATTTTATTTTTCCTCTAATAAACCTAAAAAATTATCTATAAGCGAGCTAAATTTAAAAAAAAAGTAATTTTTTTTCTTAAATGAGACAAATATAGAAAAGAAATAAATTTTATCTCCAGCGTTATTTTGGGAAAGTGCCGGAAGTCAGAGCGATAATTTGAGGAAATTCATCTTGGATAAAAAAAAAGGAAGCACAAAAATATGTGTTAATATAAATACTAGCAATCTTGCAGTCACTATGTCACTGCTGTGACTTGTAAACTATAAATAAAGAACATTTTGCTTTATTAAATAATGACTTTTCTTAAATTGCACTGTACTTTCTTAAATATTGATATTTTTAAAGATATAAGTTCATCCCGATGTTACACTCATCAAGAGCTTTCATTTGAGTACCCACTTGCATTTTTGATATATTTTCCATATATACATATATATAATATATATAAATATATGAAAAATTGATGTGGGTACTCGAATGAAAGGTCTTGATGAGTGTAACATCGAGATGAGCTTATATCTTTAAAAATGTCAATAGTTCACAAGATACAAGGTATTTTCTCAATTATGTATGTAAAGATAGAGCATTTTCAAATGCAGCCTAAATACTTATCATAATAAATTGACTATCAGTGAGAATGACATGAAACCTTGAAAAGGCTGAAACTCAAATCAAGACCTTTGCAATGACACTAAATTTCACTATAAAAACCAATATTATCATATGACTATCCTGGGGACAAAATTTTTCTTATTCTCTTAATAATATAGATTATTGTAAAAATCCTTGTAGTATTAAGATAGTTTAGCAGGCATGTTTCTTCACCCACAGCAAGTATCTACATATATATTATATATAAACTGTAATATAATATATACATTCATATATATATAAGTAGACTTTCTAAACAAAGGAACGGTTAAGAGAGAAAGAGAATTTAGGCCGTGGGCCAGGCTAAATCGGAGTCTAAAACCGACAGAGGCTTATACGATGTCGGATAGCGATTTGATCAAAGGGAATAGAAAATAAGCGAAGCGAAGATACTTGTGTTGTGTTAGTTGTTAAATATATTTTATATAGTGTAGAATGCATGGTAGAAACGAACAAGAAGAAGAAGAAGGTGGTTGCTGCAAACATAACCAAACTACAAGTTAAGATTAAGAGGAATATAGAATGGAGAAGAATGGAATGGAAGTTGAAAATGGTAGATGGTAGATGTTGGAGCTGGATGCTGGATGCTGGATGGTGAGTAGAAGAGGGCACACTAGCACATCAGTACGTAGGTATTGTATATATAAGTGCTTATGCCGAGAAAGAGCCATACAAAGCGTAGCAGCCCGAGAAATAAAAGCTGCTTCAGGACCTGGCATTGGACTGTAGATAGGTGTACAATATAGCAGACTTGAGCCTCCGATATTTAGCTCCAAGCTCCGATCGGATACTCCAACTCAGACTCAGACTCAGCTTGTATTCTGGAGGAGAGTATAGGAGCAGTACTATACATAACAACGCGGCAATCGGCAATGATGATGAGAACCAGGGTGGGGATGGAATGCGCGGCGCCTAGGGCTCGTTGGATTCCAGGGCCACACGTGCCCCTGATCCCTGTCCCCTCGCCCGAGCCGTGCCAATAAACTCAGCCTCCGGCCGACCGCCCCTGCTTTCGACCACCATGGAACTCATTCATGGGGACGGGGACCTCCTACCACGATTTTATCACTCCGATGCTTCAGTCATCGCTCTGCCGGGTTACTATCGACCTCTAAGGGATTTTCAAGGCATGACACGCGAGCTGTTTTATCTACTGAATGGAAGAAGTTAAGGGGATTCTTCAAGATCAACTAGTGGTAACTCTTTATATTTATTTTAAGGAAAAACGGTGCTAGCTACCGAGAAAAAAAGGTGAACTTAAAAATCAAGTAAATAATTTTGAAGAAGAAAAATTTTTAAACTAAAAAATTTTTCTTGGTTTGAGTAAATTTTATTTGATTCAAGAATTTTTTGTCTTGATTAAAGACAGTGAAATATTTCTGGCTCAAGAATTTTTATCTTGATTCAAGTTAATTTTTTTTTCTGATAAATTTGGCAATTAAGGAGTTTTTAATTATTAGATATTTAATTTTATCTTCTTTTTTTTAGAAATTTTCAAACACTTGATAGTAAATGAACCGAAAGTTATTGAAGATTTATTTTTACTAAAAATTATTTGAAGTTTGTTTGGATTGACAAATAAAAATTATAATTTGTCAATGATTTAAACTACGAGTTTAAATATTTCTATTTAATTTGTTCTAATAATCGAGTTTAAAATTATAACTTTAAAAGAATTTTATGTGTATTGTTATTGATAATGAATATTTTCAAAATAAATATTTAAAAAAATAAAAAATATTTTCTACGTATTGATAACTTCTCAAGTATTGATAGTGTTATCATTATCAGTTATCAATTTTTTATAAAATCTTAATTAACGCAATAAAAGTATAAGTCATCAGAAATGAAAAAAAAAATTATATATATAAAAATAAAAAACTCACCGTGCATTTTCAAACGTCGCTGATGCACTGCTGCCTACCGCACCGAAACCAACACCTACTGCCAGTCCTTCTGGGATATTATGTACCTGTAATTTAAATAATAATAATAAATTAATTAATTTAAATTAAATTGTTTAATTAAATAAAATTAAATTAAGATTAAATTAAATAAATTTTATGGGAAAATCAACGCACTGTAATAGCAACGACTAGCAGAAGAATGCGTCTCCATTGGTTGTTTTTAGCTTCAATCCCAGGATCTTCGTAGACAGAGCCCTGCTCGGTTATCTCAGAACTCCGGGAAGTTGACTCAGGTATCCTCCGGCGGGTGTTTTGCTCGTAAAAACCTGTACAGTAATTAACAATTAGTAATTATTAATGATTTAATGCATGTATGGTAAAATACACACTTTAAGGAAACCAAATTTGTTAAATAGTTCAACACACCAAGGATTGAATTGTAACAGTGACATACTTAACTAAATAGTAATTTTAATTTAGAAACCTGTAGACAAGATCTATGAGATCAGTTTTTATTCTCCTGAATACAATCTTAATTTTTTCAATTAAATAAATTAGTAAAATTTATTTTGGAAATTAATAGAGCATTTTATTATGTTTTTAATTGATTATAACTGAAATCAGCAGACACTTGTAAACATCAATAATTAAGAAATGACCCTGTATCTTGTGAAATATTGACACTTTTGAAGATATAAGCTCATCCCGATGTTACACTCATCAAGACCTTTCATTTATATATGATATATATAAATATATGAAAAATGCATGTGGGTACTTAAATGAAAGCTCTTGATGAGTGTAACATCGGGATGAGCTTATATCTTTAAAAACGCCAATAGTTAAAAAAATACAGTACAATTCAACCAAAGTCATTATTTATTAAAAAAAATTATTGTGTCTTTTAATTTCAGTGTTATTAAATTTTTTTGACCAGGCTGTATTCAGATCTCATGCTAAATTAATAAGCGATGTTAATGTTAGTTAAACGAAGAAGCAATGTTTTTTTAGTAATGTTAGTAATTAATATTAATATTATTAGTAAGCTAATTATTGTTAATACAATAAGTAAAATAATAAAATATGCAAGCGAAAAAGTGCAACTAATGGTGTACTGATCTCTTAGAGCTGGTTTACGGGAGAATAATTATTGTTTTTCATTGCAGTGCCTTGTAGATTGTATAATACTTGAGAAACAACAACGAAAAAAAAGTCAAAAAAAAAAAAATCAGCAATACCATCGATAGTGGTGGACTCATAATAAATATTGCCACTGGTTATTTGTACGCCACTAATTACATTATTAATAGTGTCTAAATCCTCGTCACTTTTAACTTTTCTTTCATCATACATCCGAAGGTTTTTGCGTCTTTGTTTCGTACCCACTGACTGCATTGCTAATAGCACATTTGGGGACTGAATTCCCAGCGAGGATATCAACAAATCGGTTCCATAAACAAACGCTGCGCCGATCAAAAATCCAACGGCGACTGGTACAAATGCAAATTCACCATTTTCACCGTAAAGCTTGCTCTCCTCTGCCATTTCTATCGCTGGCGCTAACAGGGACCAGTAACTCGCAGCTACCATCACGCCTGCTGCGAATCCCAAGCTGACGTCCAGCAATTTTCTCTGAAAATTTTTTAATTGTAATTGGTTACTAATTTTTAATTAAAAAAAAAAATTTAATAAATTTTTAACAAAAAAAATCATTAAAAAAAGATGCTTATAATCTTTCGATAAATATTTATCATTCTTATTATTCTTTTATATTTTTGTTAGTACATGGAATATTTTTTTATTCGTTAATTGTATTTACAATTAAAATTTGTTCAAATAAAATTAGCATTTGTTAAGAATTACTAAAAATACTTCAATTAAAAATAACAAAAATTGGTTGTTTACGGTTGATTTCAATAATATATTTTTTCGAGCAGTTTATCTCACAACAGTTATCGCTAAAATTTTAATTATAACCACTAATCAGCTAATAAAAACAACAAATTAAAATATTTATATTTACAAACCATAATTTTACCTAAAAATCTTTAAAATAAATGAAAATTAATTTAGCAGATATTTCATAACTTAAAAAATTTTTTCAACAAATAAATTATGGCAAAAAAAAAAATTGACGTAGAAATTTAAAAAAAAATAAAAAATGCAATTTTTTAGAAAAAATTTGTTTGTTAAAAAAACATTTAAAAAATTGTCAAGTGACAGCTAAATTTAATGACATTCAATTAATCTAATTAATTTCTAAAATAATAAATTAAAATTCATCAAAAAAAAAAATATATATATAACACCTGAAAATTTATTTAGCAGATGTTTGATAATTTTAAGATCTTTTTTTAACGAATAAATTATGGCAAAAAAAGTAGAAAAAAAAAATTGACATTTAGAAATTTTAAAAAATAAAAAATGCAACTTTTTGGAAAAAATCAATTCTTTAAAAAAAATAAAAAAATGGTTAAGTAACTGCTAACTTTAGTGTCATAAAAATTTATGGCAATAAATTAAGCAGATAATAAATTTTAGACTATTTTTTTTAAATAAATTAGAAAAAAAAATTGACATGTAGAAATTTAAAAATATGCAATTTTTTTGAACAAATTTGTTTGTTAAAAAAAATTCTCTAGTGACTGCTAACTTTAATGTCATTGAAAATTTCTATTAATAAAACCAAATCTTATTCAAGTTTTCACCCAAAAATTAGTGACCCGACTGCTATTTCAATATGAAAAAAAAAAAGATATTAAAATTACCTGTTTGCCTTGTATGACGACAACAACAGCAGCACCGGCAGCAGTAAGCCCCCAGGTGAACAAGGTGCCCAGCAGGGCCTGTGTGATGGGCGTGTAACCCTTGATCATCTTGGCTAGCCAAATGAACCACCAAAAAAAAAAATCTAGATGTTCAAACAAAAGACATCAGCGTGTCTTTATAGTACTGAATAGTCTCTAGGTATTATATTGTTGGGGCAACAGTTTAGTTGTGGTACTAGTACTGAAAACCCGGCTGGGCACAACAATTACATTAAGCTGGTTTAGTTGTCTCACCATCACCATCACCAACGGCAGTCCCCCAACTTATCTCCGTCCACCACAGAGCTAAGCAGGCTCTCCCACATTGACATAACTTTACATGATAGTACGTCGTATTTTGTACACTACACATGTATAATCTCCACACACATCCAAGAGGTATATATATAGTATATAACAGTAGATGGACAACAATTACGGCACCAACCAACACTGACACTAGCTAGTCACCAGTCACTATTACTGTGTTACTGATACCGATACTGGATAACCCCCACACTCACTTGTTATTTTATTAACTATAATAACTATTTACACGTGTGCCGTCTTTTTTTTTATTTTTATAATTTGAGAAGTGTAATTTATCATCTGAATGACATTTTGTCAACAACACTCTTTTATAACTTGTAATTTTATTAATAGTTTATTTTATTAATTTAAAGATAAACTTACAAAGACCGCAATTACCAGCTTTTGTTTTTTCAGGCGATCAATGTCAATGTCTCGGTCCTGGGACTTTGAATTTAACTATATCTTCTGTTTTTAACCGGCTAATCTCGTAATTGTTGCTTCAGTTGAATATTTTAATTGTTAAATAAATACTTTCGATGGATAAACACGCAATCATTAACATTCAAATGATTCTATTGTTCTCAATCTCATTACCATAGTTCTCGGGACGTGTATTTGGTAAATAGGTAGGTAAGACGCGCTTTGTTCTGCGCAGACAAAATGGGGGTGAATCGCGCCGACCAATCACAGCTCACAACTCAAAATTTAAATTGTTAGAATTTTTAATGAGTGAAGGTAGCTGATATTTCAAAATTTAAAAAAATTTTTTATTTAAAAAATTTCAATTAAAAACCTTAAAAAAAAAATTTCACATGTTAAAAACTTAAAAAACTATAAGTGCAATTTTTTAGAAAAATTTTTTTAGTTATAATTTAATTAATAAAAAAAATCAAAAATTTTTAAACGTCTGCTAACTTCAGTGCCATAAAATTTTTTTAAAAGTGAAATTTAAATATTTTATGTATTATTTAATAATTAAATTAGGACAAAAAAATATTTTTTAAAAATTGCACTCACAGTTTTTAAAGTTTTTTACGAGTGAATTTTTTTTTTTATGTTTTTGTAATCATTTCTTCAATAAAAAAAAAAATTCTTAAAATTTTTAAATGTCGACTAACTTAATTTTTTATTTTAATTTAATTCAAAATTTTTTTAAAAATAAACTTAAAAATTTTTTTGTATTAAAATTATAAATTTAACAATTTTTATAACAAATTATGAAATGTCAGCTGATTTAAAAATATTTTATTTATTTTAAATGAAAATTTAGTTAGGTGACATTTAAAACTTTTTAGAATAAAAACTGTAAGTGACTTAAATTTTTTAAAAAATATTTTTTTTGTTCTAATTTAATTATTAAAAAACAATTAAAATTGTCGACGAACTCTGTAGTATTATTTATTTTTAAATATTTAAAATAACTAAATGAAATATTTATTAAATTTAAAAAACGTGATAAATATTTAAAAATATGTAAATAATTAAAATACTTACATATGACTCATAGAAAAAAACCCAAACTTTTTTAATTCCAAGGATCTAGTTTTATATTTCTGATAAAATAATCTAAACTTTTTAAAAGTAACCTTGAAATTTTTTGCTAATGACAATCGGAAAAGAAAAATAAATACATATTAATATTAATACAATAAAAGTAATAAAACATGAATTATTATCATTACTTCTAAGTGGTTGCATAAATTTACAAATACAATTTTTTACTTTCATTTCTTTCATTCATAAATCACGTTTTATTAGTCAACCGTGAAAATTAAATTATTCCAGTTCGGAATTTATTTTTTCTATAATAATAATAATAATAACAACGACAACAAAAAAAAGGACATTTATTCATGAGAATAAGCTTAGACTGACATCTTTATGTCGATATTAAAACTCAGTGACTGTTTACCTTCCCGCAGGTTATTTTTACTGACTTGCGCACTTGCAGCAACATGACAGCTGATGTAAACAGGAGCATTGACGTGTGGGTTGCCGTGATTGCTGAATGATGGCATCTGCTACGGTAATTATTATTTAGTTTTTTATTTAATTTTTACAATCAATTACCCGCAATAAAAGTCATTTTTACAAAACTTCCGATTATAAATAGTACAAAAGCAATTCTCGTTAATTTTTTATTTTGCTGTCAATAAAGGTCAGTGATTATTTATTACTTAATTTTTAGAGACAGAAGGCCGAAAGTAAATCAGTTTTTTGTTATTTTTAATAATAAACATCTTCTGGAATTAATTTACTAACAATTGATGACTAATTACAGGTTCCATTACTGATGGATGACGACACGGTGGCGTTTGGTGAGGAAGATGATGTGCGAAGTGGAAAATTGAAGTATATATTTTATTTTTATTTTTATTTAAAATTTATTTGTGGTTAATATAGAGAATTTATTGATTTTTTTAATTTATAGACATCCATATGTGACTTTTTTTCATCTGGCGTTCAGAGTATCGGCGATAATCGTCTACATGTTCTGCACATGGTTCTCTGATAGTTTCATCGCTAGTTTTGTTGTTGTAGTCTTGCTTCTCTCTATGGACTTTTGGACTGTCAAAAATATCACTGGGAGACTGATGGTTGGGCTCAGGTGGTGGAATTATGTTGATGATGATGGAAAAAGTCATTGGGTTTACGAGTCACGAAAGGTTTTAACTATTTTTTTGTTTTTGTTTTATTTTATTTTAAATAAATTATATCTTAAAAATGTCAATAACTGAGAAATTACTTTGTATTTTGTCTACTGATGATATTTTTAACGATATAAGCTCATCCTGATGTTACACTTATCGAGACCTTTCATTTGAGTACCCACACGATATTTTTCATATATTTTATATATACATATATATAGTATTTCTCATATTTGTGAAATATATAAAATATATGAAAAATTCGTGTGGGTACTCAAATGAAAGGTCTTGATGAGCGTAACATCAGAATGAGCTTATATTCTAAAAAATGTCAATGGTTAAGAAATGGCGTTGTATTTTGTCCACTGATGATGTTTTTAACAATATAAGCTCATCCTGATGTTATGCTCATCGAGACCTTTCGTTTGAGTGCCCACATCAATTTTTCATATATTTTATATATTTATATATTTCACAAATACCATATATATATAAAATATATCAAAAATGCCATGTGGGTACTCAAATGAAAGGTCTAGATGAGTCTAACATGAGGATGAGCTTATATCTTTAAAAACGTCAATAATTAAGAAATTATGTTGTATTTTGTCCCCTGACGATATTTTTAACGATATAAGCTCATCCTGATGTTACGCTCATCGAGACCTTTCATTTGAGTACCCACACGATTTTTTTCATATATTTTATGTATATGATATTTCTCATATTTGTGAAATATATAAAATATATGAAAAAAGTCGTGTGTATACTCAAATGAAAGGTCTCGATGAGCGTAACATCAGAATGAGCTTATATTCTAAAAAATGTCAATGGTTAAGAAATTACTTTGTATTTTGTCCACTGATGATATTTTTAATGATATAAGATCATCCTGAGGTTACGCTCATCGAGACCTTTCATTTGAGTACCCACATAAATTTTTCATATATTTTATATATTTATATATTTCACAAATACCATATATATAAAATGTATAAAAAATACCATGTGGGTACTCAAATGAAAGGTCTCGATGAGCATAACATCAAGATGAGCTTATATCTTAAAAATTGTCAGTAATTAAGTAATGACTTTGTATTTAGTCTCCTGATGATATTTTTAACGATATAATAGATAAATATATAAATCGATTATTTTTTTTTTTAATTTTATTATTTGAAACTTTGATGTGCCCTATTTTCAGGGTCGACAACAGAATCGTATCAACCCATCAGAAGCAAGAATTTTTTGGCTGTCATTAATAATCTGCCCATTACTCTGGTGTTTATTTTTCATCGTCGCTTTATTTGGCCTGAAAATAAAGTGGCTATTAATTGTTTGCATCGCTACGATGCTAAACGGCGCGAATCTCTTTGGATATGTTAAGTGTAAAATGGGCAAAAATTCAGATATTTCCACAGCGACCAAAGATTACTTCAAAAAACAAGTTCTACAGAATGTAAGGACTCTTTTTACCCTTTTTAATTAATTTTAATGGAATTTTTTAAAATAAAAAATTATATTGCAGGTAATGTCTTCGATGATGACCAAAAGTCCTCCAGCGACCAATCAATCACCGTCGAACATCATATAATTTTCTCATTCCACTTAACTGATATAAAAACTAAGTGATAAAAATTAGTTAATTTGTAAATAATAAATAATAAATTTACTACCTTGCTAACTTGCAAAAAATACTGTAAGTTATAATGATTATTATATTTAAAATAAGGAAGGATAATAAATAAAATAACAATAAAAAATAATTACACTGTTAGTTTCTATTCTATGCCATAAGGCAATACAATAATGTACATGGTATTCTCCTTCAGAATTAGTTCTCAATTATTAAATTCATCTATTACAATAATTTCATTCGTATTTTTTGTCCATGAGTAATATTTATTTATTATATTTGTCTCAGCCTGTTGTTAGTTTTTTTTTTTTTTTTTTTTCTGGCAAGAAAGTATCACAAAATAATTATCCATTATCTCAACGTTATTTTATTATTTTAATTCCCAAGAATTTATTCATCCATTTTATTTATTTATTATTTTATTTAAACTTTATTTTATATTTCAAATTTTTATTTTTACATCACCCGTAAAGGTTAACGCTGCATTTAATAATTATTATTTATTTATTAGTATTTATAATTCCATGTAATAACAATTTATTTGTTAGACTATGAGATTATCTGAAGAAACATTTTTTTTCATGTAAGTACTTTACAATTAAATTTTTAAATTAAGAATTTTATAAATGAAAATTGAAATTAAGTTTGAGGGATTTTTTTATTTAAAATATAATAATACAATTGGAATTTTTAGTTGTAATAGATATCGTTGAGAAATGGAATAGCCAGAATATTATTTAAAATTTAACTGAAAAATTATATTATTATTTTTATTTAATAATTAAATGTAAATATATATTGCTAACAATTTTTTTTTAAATATATTATAAATTATACAATAATAATAAAATATAAAATAATTATAATAAAAATAAAAGTGTAAAAAAATACATTAATTGGAATGGTTAAAAGTTAAAAAATTAAAAATTACATGAACTATTTTATTTTATAACAAAATTGGCAGTAATTTTTATATTTTAGGTGCATTTTTTTTAAATTCAAATTTTTCGCGCCAAATCTAAATTCAAAAGTTTTTTATTTCCCTTTTTTGCCGCCCGAGGCGCTAGTAAGTTTGACAATGACTCGCAGAAAATTTCGCAATGCACCATTGTTAATTTTTAATTAAATAAATTGATTGACATTTTACACCTAAAGCCAAAAATATTTAATTATTAATTAAGTAAATAATTACAATTTAATTTAAATTGTCGACATTTTAAATAAAAATAATAAAATCAAATAATTACATTGAAATTATCAGACACTTGATCATTTTTTTTATTTACTTAATAAAAAAATTTTTTCCAAAAAAATAATTAAAAAAAAATTGCATTTTTAATTTTTTTAAATTATTTTTTTTATCACAATTTGTTTGTTAAAAAAATTATTAAAATTCTCAAGTGCTAAATTAATTTTCATAATTAAATATCGTTAAGAAAAAAATTAAAAACTGTTAAAGAATAAATTTAAAAACTTCAGCAATTTATTTACAATTATTTGATTATAAATTTGTAATCTTGCAAAATTTAATAACATTATCGCACCGAAAGCGGAAGTGGAAAAGTTTCCGGTAGTTTACTACGACGAAGTAGTTGACAATTCGAAGCTCGGCAGAGGAAATAGTGCGCGTCATGTCAAGTGTCCGTTTAATTATTCCTTGCGCGTTAAAATAAAACAGTTATCCGGATATTTATGCAGTACGCAATTAAAATCATTGTATTATTTGTGTTTTTGTTAAGTTTCTGCGGTTGTTAGCTTCATAACCGCAAATTTTAGAAGTGTCATTTTCGGCGGGTTATTTTTCGCGGTAAACAGTGATGATACTGAAGTTAACTGACAGCTGTCAATTTTTTTAATTTTTATCACATTAAAATTAACAATTACTTAAACAATTTTTAATTTTATTTAACAAATAAATTTATTCCAAAAAATTATTAAAAAAAAAATTGCATTTTTAATTTTTTAAAAAAATTTCTAATGTCTCTTAACTTCAATATCATTAAAATGACAATTAATTTAGCAGATATTAAATAAATTTTTTAACACATAAATTTTGACAGAAAAAAGAGAAGAAAAAATTGACATGTAGAAATTGAAAAAAATAAAAAATGCAATTTTTAAAAAATTATTTTTTGTCAAAAATTTTTCTGCTAAATAAAATTAAAAAATTATCAAGTGACTGCTAACTTTAGTATATCATTAAACAGTGACGGAAAATTGAAAAAGACACTTTAAGATTGTTATTTGTGAATAAAAAAAAGTAAATTACCGATAAAAAAATAAATACAAGTGTTAAATAGCGAAAATAGAATTTTAATTTTAAAAAAGTGATCAAAGTTTGGTGAAATGAATCAGCTGTCAAAGAAGAAAAAATCAAGTGCTTTTTCCACATTTGTAAGGTGAGTTAAAAAATTAAATTGAAAATTTTTCTGGCTTTAGATGTACTTAAAAATTGACTTAGACGTATACTAAATAAACTTACACATATTTTATGTATATTAAATGCGTTATTCACAAATACAAGTACACGGATCATTTAAATTTAACAATTAAAAATTTGACTAATCGTAAATACGCAATTGTAATATTAATCGATTAAATAAATCTACATTACATTTTTTTTTTTTTCATTAAATATTTAAAATTCCGGCGAAAATTTATTTACGTCGACAATACAATTTTACCTTGTAAATAATTTCACGTTAATTTTATCGTAAAAATATATAAAAAAGATGACGGTACGGAATATAAAAAATCTATTAAATAAGCTAAACTTTTACGGGTATCAAATAGAACAGTGCGTTTGTTAATCTTCATTACATCAATTATTATATAATTGTTTTAAACCGGATACTTTGTAAACTTTGTTCAATTAAAATCATAACCTATTTCATCATTTTATTTCTTCCTTTCAATTATTTAGAATGTTCGTAATATATATTTATTATTTATATATTTATATTTATATTTATATTTATATATTTATTTATATATATAAATCTATGTATATATTATTTTTATCTTATTAACATACATTATTAACACTAAACATGACAGACGGTGCATTATGTACACATTTATCGCAACTTCCGATCCTTGCCCGCATTAATTAATTAATTGATTAAAAAAAAAAAAAATTCACCATTCAATACGTTTAATTAACATCTTCAATTGCTATCGTAAACAATACGATTAATATTTTTGAATAGGTTATAAATAATTGTTCGTTTATTGTCCGTACAGGCTAAAAATTTAATCTCTATATTTTCAAATATTAATTCCTTTTTTATACTCTTTAATGTTAACTTTAATTGACTACCGATTTTTTTAATAAAAAAAGAAAAAGAAATTACAATTAAGAAAAAAAAATAGTAACTTTGTACAGGCGGTAATTAACCAAGGACGGAAGAAACGTTGCGTGCATTTAACATACAGTGCTCTTATCCAAATAAATTAATAAGTATCAATAAAAATATTAATAATAATATTAATGTTAAATATTAATATTATTTTTAATATTTAAGTCCGGTCGCTCATTTCACTACATACAATAAAATAATAATATAATCCACATGTAGGCACCGCAGCATTCATTCATTTCGTTATTTGTGACCTAATGGCATTTTTATATTTATTTATTAATATAATTATTATTTATTATTTATAATTAATTATTAAAACTAAAATATAACAATTAATTATTAACTACCCTTAAAATTTATTGGTAGTTATTTTTAATCATTCCAATTATTTAGTTATTTATTTATTAAGTTTTGTTGCATATTGGCAATAGCATTGTCGATTTTTTTTTTGGCAGTACGGCAATTTTAAGTTTTTTATGAGCAGAAATTACTTTATTAGTTAACGAGAGTTTGAATAACTAATTAATAATTAATAGTTACACACTTGAGCCAAGAAAATATTTTTCTTCTTAATTATTTTCTTGAGTGAAAAAAAAACAATTTTTTTTTAAAGAAATTTCACTTATTCCAACAAAATTAATTCTCTTGCTTTAAGAAATACGTATCTTGATCAGAGAAAATTTATTTAAGTAAAAAAAATCTTGTTTTGAGAAAATTCAGTTCTTGATAGAAGTTAATTTTCTTGTCTTGAGAAAATTTCTCTCTTGCTCCAATAAATTAAATATAAAGATAAAAGTTAATTTTTATTAATATTTTTATTGATTAACGTATCAAATAGGAAGATCAAATAATATTTCATCATTTTTTTTCATTCAATATGTATAATTGCACGCTAAAATAATATAAAATGGGTATCAAATATTCAAGAGAAAAATTTTCTCAAGGTGAGAAAATTTTTTTCTCAGCTAAAGTAAGTAGCACTGCTTCTCTAAATCTTGATCAAATATAAAAATTTATTGTATCAAGTATTTATGATAATCTAAATAAAGAAAAAATGACTTCCACCAAGAATAAAATTTCTGAAAAAATTTTTACTTCCGCCAACACAATTTCGGTCAAGAACTTTTTCTTTCTGTGTAGATAAAACGTCACTGTCATTTAAAAAAAATTCTTAATTCGATAAATAAAGTTATTAAAACTCTCGAGACCAAATAAACTCGATTGATTGATACGTTAATAAAATTATTAAACTCTAAGGTCCTTTCGGTAGATTTATAATAAAAAAATTCGGCGTTAACTTCTAGATAGATTTGAAAAAACGGTCAAAAGATTTATCAGTAATTTTTTAACTGTAAATTTATTTAATATAAATTTCAAATTTTTCTAAAAAAGAGAACACGGTAAAAAGGTCACGATATTTGGATTAAGATTAGATATTAACTTTAATTATTTTTTTTTGAGTAGTACTTCAGTCTACCATTACTCAGGAATGATAAATACAAAGGAGCATTAATTAATTGTTTTAAAAAACCTGAAAAAGAATTTTTATACCGATATGTTTCGACTCAATTATTTAATTGCCTACTACCTTCATTAATTACAATTCAATACTTAACTCCCATTCATTATCTACAATAATCGATAATTAATAATTAATAATTATAATTAATCCAATAGCTACACTAGGATAATTGTTAACTGAGAAAAATCTAGACGGAGGGCTCCTTGTCAATTAATATTATGGACAATTATTTGTTCGCATCGAAACTTTTTAAGGCTCTGTTTCAAAAGAAACATTACGCGTTACCGGTTTGTTCATTAATTAGTCTATTTAATGAATTAATATTAATATTATTATTTAAACACCGATTTCACGTGCCTAAATGGCAGTCTTCGTTCTTTTAACCAAACGAGTGTTTATTTATTAAGAGATATAATTATTGTTGCTCTATACTGATGATTTGTTTGTTAAATTAAAATAATAAAAATGATAAAACAATGGGAGTTTAATTGAGAATACTTTATATTAAAGTACATTTTTAATCATCAAAGTGCTCTAAACCCCATCATCAATCATAACAGCAATGTCGGAATCTCTCGCGTAATATTTTATTTGATAAAATGTAAATCCGACGAGCTTCAAACACAACGAGCATCGACTCAACCGTTATAAGCGTTACCTATTATTAATATTATTGATATTAATTAATAGTAATTATTAATTATTGAGTACTAATAATTAATAAAAAATTTATTTTGTTATTTTGTTAGTTTAATAGTCTGTTAGTAAAACTAAACACGTCGTATCTTAGCTCTTTCACCAGTACTCTCACGACTTCTTATGTGACGCTCTCCTCGGTCTCTCGTTGGTTCTCTTGGCTCGCGGATTTCTTCTTGTCAGTTGGCATAGTGATCGAATGATCCTAAGTACTCCAAACTAGCACGATAACAAAATTGGTATTGATCCTAAAAAATAAACATTATTAATCATCAATATTTTTCAATTATTTCTGTCTAATTTTAAAATACAGTAATTGATCATTTTTTCAACTTTGCTTTATAAAAAAAAAAAAACAAATTTTTATATATTGTATATATATGGTATTTGTGAAATATATAAATATATAAAATATATGAAAAATTGATGTGGATACTCAAATGAAAGGTCTTGATGAGTGTAACATCAAGATGAGCTTACATCTTTAAAAATGTCAATAGTTTACAAGATACAAGGTCATTTCTTAATTATTGATATTTTTAAAGATATAAGCTCTTCCCAATGTTACACACACCGAGACTTTTCATTTGAGTACCCACATGACATTTTTTATATATTTTATATATATGGTATTTGTGAAATATATAAATATATAAAATATATGAAAAATTGGTGTGGGTATTTAAATGAAAGGTCTCGATGAGTGTAACATCGGGATGAGCTTATATCTTAAAAAATATCAATAATTCTCAGGATACAAGGTCATTTCTTAATTATGTATCTAGCGATAGAGTATTTTTGAATGCAGCCTAAATATGCCTGCAATGAGACTCAATTTTACTAAAAAAAACCGATACTATCATACGATCTATCCCGGACACAAAATTTTTCAATTACTAATTTTTAAAAAGAGACATCAATATTTCTCCAATTGCTAATTTAAAAAAAAATTACCTCAGTTTGAACCATAGCCGGACGTTGCGTACGCAGTATTCTGACGGTCTGGAAGATGTCAACAACGCCCTCATACTGCATGCGCTCCAAAACAATACTAAGCGTAATAAAAACACCAGTTCTCCCCACTCCAGCGCTACAGTGTACCGTGATAGGTCCATCTTGCCCGAACTGTTCCTTGGTCTTATGAACCTGCCCAATAAAATCAATGAACCCGTCTCCTGACTTAGGAACACCCTGTTCCGGCCAATCAATAAACTGGAACTGTCGGACAGTGCGACTAGCGCCATCTCTCGCGTCAGTGACTTTAAACTCCCTCAAAATATACTGAGGCATATTATACTCCGCGATCGGATCAACAACGAAGCACTGATACCTAATAGACCTATCAGAGGGCCAATACTGGTGGCACTTTTCCCTTCCAATTTCCTTGAGCTTCGTCAACATGACCACAATCGTCGAATTGTGCTCCCATAACATCCTCCAGAAGTCATCAGTGGTCTCATTGAGCGGCCCCTGGGTCGCAATGTAAGCACCGCGGTACCGATATCCGTCGATGAAGCTCGCGTTGATGTAATCCGAGCCCTCCATGTTCCTCTGGGGCTGCAAACAAACCCGCGTGCACTCGTACGGCAAAATATGGACAAGCCTGTTCTTGTGTTTGTTGCACGCCAAGTTTGCAGAAATGAACCGCGTAGAGTCCGCTTTGATGTTCGAGAGCTTCTTGAACTCCAGTTCCATTCCCGTGGTGTTGTCCAGCTCAGTTTGCATCAGCTTTTGTATGTGCGAGTGCAAGTTCCGAGCTGGAACTTCTGTGAACCCGCAGATCACCGCCTCGAACAACGCGTCGTGGATGAATATGTACTGATCTTCAGTTTGCACCATGTAGTTCCGCTGCGCGCGCAAGCAAGTAACGTGGCCGTAGATGTCGATCATTTTCTCGTGCTTGATACGTTCCAACATGGAGTCTATGACGATGAAACAACCAGTTCTGCCGACCCCAGCGCTGCAATGGACCACCAGAGGCCCGGAATCAGGTACATTTAATGTTTTAACGCGTCTGAGAAACTGTAAGAACGGCGCTGGGTGCTCCGGAACTCCGTGATCCGGCCAAGCGGTGAACTGCAGCTGTTTTATCTCTCTTCTGTCTGTGTAGCCGTTCCGACAGACTTGGAAAGTTCTGATGCAGTAGGTCGCCAGTTCCTGAATGTCGCTGATCGTCACGGTCATTTGTCCGTAAGTTTCGGCTCCGCGAGTCGGCCAATACTGGTCACACTTTATACGCGTTCGTTCCTCGAGCTTGGTCATCATTACAATGGTGCTAGTTCGCAGTTCCCAGCACATGCGCCAGAAATCCGCGAAAGTATTTTGGAGCGGGCCCTGAGTCGCGACATATGCGTTCTGTTTTCGGTAACCGTCGCAGTAGTTCGCGTTTATGTAGTCAGAACCGGGAATTCCGTCGGTTGTTTGAAGAATAACGCGGGAGTGATCGTAAGCGATGACATTGGCGTAACGATTTTTAGAAGTGTTGACCTCCATGTTTGAATGGTCCCAAGTGAATTGCTGGCCCGGTTCAATTGACTCGTATTCCTGGCTGAATTTTAGGTTATCGTTGGCCTTCAGGCGGTCTATGTGGTTCCCGAGCTCGCTGATAGGAATTGGAGGGTGTGACATCATGCCGGGAGTTTGGAAGTTCAGACGGCGCATTTCTACCGGGTCAGAGGGCGCGTGGTTCGAGCTTATGTCCGCGGCCATCAGAGGACGTGTTACTGCTGCTTGATCCGGCGCTTTGCAAGGCTGTCTGCGTCTAGTTGAATGCCAAAATTTATAAATAATATCGTTAATAATTTAACTATTTTCGGAAGTATATTACTTAAACTATATTTGTAAATTATTAGAATCTTTAGATTGAAATATGGAAGGTATTAATGAAGCTAATACTTACTTCCTTATTACGAAAAGCAAAACCAGGCAAATGCTGACCATCAGGGCGGCTATGATTGGCCCAATCACCCAAACCATACCGGGTTCCTGGCCGCTATTGGTTACAGAGACTTCTGGGTTCCCGTCGGGAGATATGTCTGGATTTGGCCGGCTTGGTGGGTCACCGGGTGGTACTTCTCGCATATCGAGGGATAAGTACTCCGAAAAGGGGGATGATGTGTAAAGATGCTGAAAAATTCAAGTAAAATTAGATTCATTGTTCTCTTAAAAATGTAAATGATTGAAAATAAAATTACCTTTTTAGGAGTATCAACAATAGCCCGTACAAATATCCTGTACCGTTTGGTAGGATCCAACTTTTTGTTTTCAAAGCCTTCGTAAACATCCCCGCTGCCGAGCTGAAAAGTATACGGAATAGTTCTATGCGAGAATTTGGCCGCGATGTATGGCGCGTTTTCCGGGTCCTGTTTTGCGTTTTTTCCCGTAATAACATCCTCTGTAAATTCATCAGGCTGCTTGTGAGCAGTAGCCTTGTCCTCAGGAACTACTATCAAATAATAATATGCGATTGGTCCGTATTCTTCAGAAGCTTGAGGTAAAATAACGTGAATCTCTTCCTTCTTAACAACGCCATAGAAATCAGGCTTGACCATCGGCTTGGGCGCGGCCATTTGAGTGGTCACGGTGATTTTTGCCGGAGGTTTGTACGAAGAGTCAGCTGGAACCGCGCTTACGTTGACGTTGTAAGTCGTAAACGGCTGGAGTTCGTCGATTGTCGTGGTAGTAGCAGTTGCATCTAGGCGAATAGTTCTGCGAGGCACAATTTGGGTTTGAGTAATTCCTTGAGAGTCCACGAACTCTTTGACCGCATCGAAGGATACTTGGTAGCCCGTGGGGTTCAGTCTTATTGGCGGAGTCCACGAGAGTGTCATAGAGTGTGTAGAAGTGTCAGAAGCGCGTAAATTCAGAGGAACGTCTTCAGGTTTTACTTTAACCGTGACTTTCTGACTAAGACGCCCCAGAACGTCGTTTTTGTACCTCGCGGCGACGGCAATCGCGTAGGCAGTGTCGCGTTCCAAATTTTCCAACTCAGCTGACTCGGTCATGCCAATCAACTTCTGCTTCCACTGATCAAGATCCTCCACCGCTGTCATCGTGTAGAAAATTTTGTACCCGATAATTTTGTCACGATTAGGCACTGGCTCCCACCAGACTTCGACATTTGACTCAGAAGTCGCCACTGCCTTGACGTTCAGTGGCGCCCGGCCGATATCTTTCTCCGTAACTATCGTGATTTTCTCAGAGTACGGCCCTGAACCGCGAACAGTATGTGCGCGCACGTGGAAGACATATTCCGTAGCTTCCTCAAGATTTGTAAAAACAGCGCGTTCTTGAGTTGTGTTCCGCGCCTCAATAGTGCTGTGGTCGTTCTTCTTGTGAAATTCAACGTCGTAGCGAATTATTTGCCCGTTCCGATGGCGACGCGCAGGCTCGCTCCATTTCACGCAAACTGTGTCTTGAGTCTGGAAGGAGTAGGTTAGGTTTGTTGGCGGGCCTGAAGGCTCACCTTCTGGACTTTCATAGTAGCGAACTGTTTCTTGGCCAACTCCGTTTTGATTCTCTCCAGCAACTCGGAATTCGTAATGAACGCCGCGTTCTTAAATTTGGAAAATTCAAAGGTTTAATTTTTGATTCTTTTCAGGGTAAATAAAAAAAGTTTGAAAAATCCCAAAGTGCACGCCTCATAATCTCATTTTTTATAATAAAATTGATTAAAATGAAATAAAAATACTTTTAAATCTTTCGCGCCATTGTCCACCCAGACAAGAAAGGTACTGCGCATGTATTGTAAACAAACCTTATTTGCATAGAGATAGATTTACAAACGATTAGTGGATTTTTAGTTTATCGCTAATTATAAATAAATTACATTGAATTAGAGCATGATCTTTAAAAGGACTTAATTTTAAATCATACTGAAGCGTATAAAAAATAAATGGATTTGATCAGTTGTTTTTCGGCAATTCTCGTTTTTTTTTATTTATTTATAAAGCAACATGTCTTTTAAAAATATCATGTGTTGAAACTAGAGTTTTTCCATGATATTTATGTATAAATACTGATCTACAAGTCCGATAAAAAATAAATAGAGACAATTTTAGTTCAAGAAATCGCTTGATTTTTGTAAGACGAGCGTAGAGCACAACTTCATCCGCTTCGCTTATGAGGCGTGCAATAAAATTCGATCCTATTGATGAAGAACTTACCGACATCTTTGATTTTGAAAGTAACCTGATTGATGTCTTTGATAAACTCTTCCTTCAACGTCTGATTTTTGATCCCGTATTTAACGCGGTAGCCCGTTAATTGCCCAGCTGGCTCGCTCGGCTTGGCCCACTCCAGCTCGAGGACTATTGGATCCTGATTGATTACCCTGAGAGTCACCAAAAACCGTTAATTAGTCTCATTATTTATATATGATTCATGATTGATAATTATAAGCCGCGTTATTTAATATAAAATCGATTCGGATAAGTACTTGACGTTGACTTGCGGCCTATTTGGCACACCACCAGGAGTTCTGACGTGCACAGGAAGCGACCTATCCCCATCGCCTTTCCGCGTTAGAGCCGCGACTTGGACGTAATATTTAGTGTCTGGCTGTAAATTGGTCACGTTGATTGCATGGACGCCTTCTTCGTGGACATCTTGACGGATTGGCTCGTTCAGCAAGTCCTTGCCCTTTAAAATTTCGTTTGTTAGTTGGAATTATGAGTGGGATTTTTTTTTTGATTCGTTACAAGATAAGATGGCGGCTTTAGAATTGCCAACTTAATTTTAAAATTAAAAGTGAAAAAATTAGTAGAAGATTTGATGAAGAAATAATAATTGATACCTCTTCAGCGACCTCTTGTATGTGAACATGATAACCTCTGATGACGCCATTTTGGTCATTAACTCGGGGCGGCTTCCACTCTACTCTGATAGTCGTTGAGTTTAAAGCCGTCGCTGTGACGTCCTGGGGATTTCCTGGCACTGTAACGCAACTCAATATTAATTTGTGTCCGTTCGGGTTCCAGTTTTTAACACACACCCAATTATACATCTAAACAGGCTTATTCACTTCCATCCATTCACTCAACGTCATAAATAAATAAATAAATAAATAAATAATAAATTAATAAGATTAAATGATAAATTATAATCTATAATCTGGAACCAAAAACTCGAAATCTGAAATAAATTATAAATCATATTATAAAATAAATTAATTTAATTATAAATGATATATTAATTGAAATAATACTGAAAATTTTTTTTAAAATTAAAATTAATAGAAAAAATAATTAGTAAGGTTTAGAAATGTTAAAAAAAAAGAAAACCCGCAACCATTCATTAAGTATGTACAGAAAAACTACCAATCACCCTTAAAATTAAAAATTATTCAATAATAATGGTAATAATAATAAACTCCTGTCACTAATTAACCCCCCATTTGAATACCAATAATTTATTTATTAAAAAAAGTGATTATTTTAAAAAAATGAACATTCTTTCTTTCTTACTTTCTTAAAAACATTTTTTCTCTAGTAAAAAAAAAAAGAGTAATTTATTAATTACACATTAATATAATTAATAATAGCAATAAGAGATTAAGAGATTAAATATACATGGAATGGACATTTAGTCTCACCGACGGCAGTAATGGAGAGTCCATGATCAGATTTAAATATATTAATAATAATAATAATAATTATGGTTAAAGTTATGATATAATAATAAATATATTACATAAATTATTAAAATCTACAGGACAGTAATTAATTAATTAATAATTAACAAAATAATAGTGTGCGTCATAACATCGCAAAGCTGTGCAATGACAAGTCTGTGCTCAATTAATCCTGTTTTGTTCAAAAAGTAAACTCGTGTTCTATGGTAATATACTTTACATGCTTTCTATCAATAAATTTATTAATAATAAACTCGATTTATATGTATAATATATATATGTATGTATATTTACGAATATAAACCTGTAAAAAGTCAAAGCCCGTCATGGACAGTCCAGTATCCGACGTGATTAATAATTAATAAATAATTGCACCGTTAATTTACATAAATCATAAACGGTTTTGAAATAATAAGAATGGAAAAAAAAAAAATTCAGCGATGCCACTGCTTACCTACGCCGCGAGCAATTATTAAATATTAATTATAAACACAGCTACTACAAACGAATTCTGCATTTACTTAAAATAAAATAACTCAATAAAGTGTCTGATAAATAATTATTTTTATGGGTTATAAATAATAGTTAATTAGCAAAAAAATTGCAGTGATAAGGCGACAAACAGGGTTAAATAATAATAATAATAATAATAATGATACAAAGTTGAAAAGTTTAAATCTCAAAATTTTTTTTAACTTGTTTAAAATCATTATTTATTTTTTTAGTCATTCATAATGGTAAAAAAATATTTTTAAGCATCAAAATTTGTTTAAAAAATTTTAAATAATCTTTACAACAATTTAAATACGTCCAAATAATTTTTAAAACCTTAAAAAATTACTTAGTTTGTCCAAAAGCATAACTATTAACTGACAAAATAAAATTCCGCAATTGATCTCAAAATTTTCAACTTTGTAATAAATATTAAATCAGAAATAGCGGTTGAATATTTGTATTTATATATATGTATATACTTATATATATATATAAAAGTTTGTACAAAATATATAACATATGGCAATAAACTTTGATGGCTAGCCAAAATAATAAAAACAGTTTGGTAATAACGAAAAAGTAAAAAACTGGAATATATATTTATGTATGTAAATAGCGAAATAAAAATCCCGAGCTTTGAGCGTTACAGTGGCTGACCGTGGGTGTTGGTTTACTCTCATTTGGGTGTATGCAAAAAATTCGTTTGTCCTTGCGAGACGCATATTTTTTAATTACGCTCAAAAAAATCAGAAACGAAATAAAGGGTAATTACTCTAACTAATTAATTAATTTATGCATTAATTAATTAATTAATTAATAAACTAATTAATTATGCGGTAGCTAGGCGGGTATTTATTAATTATTACGTTATAATAATAATAAATAATAGGTATTTATGATTTATTAAGAGATTTTCGATGAATTTCAATGGTAGAATGGATACTCACTTTTATTCTCTGCGCCCCCATAATAGTCGCCAAAAAAAGTGGGAAAAAAACTCATAAACAATTTGTAACAATTTTTCTCACGTTTAATTAAAATTTAATTTTAAGTTATTTTAATATTTGTTATTTATTAGAATATATTTGGTTAGTTGAGTTATTAAGGGTAGCATCTACTCGACTTATGATCACAGACACTCCGACAAATATTGTAATGATTTAGTAATTAATTAATGAGCCATTCATACGCATGCAAATAAAAAAAAAATAGAGTGGATCCTCGTGGTCCGGACATCCAGTTTAGTTCCTCGTCCATTAATGAATTAATCGTTCATGCTCAGATCCGGCATGAGTCCTAAGCTTAAACCATTCGCACATGGACACAAAATGACAACCGGGCACAACAAATTATTGTTATAATTATAATGACAACTGACAATTGGTATTTTATCAAAACAAAAAAAGCATTTTATTTATTATTATTATTAATGACGGTCTGTTCGATCCTCTCTCACGCGGATGCTCGCAGAGAGGCGGGAGACGTGAGAATATTTAGATTTTTTTCAAATATTTTTTAGTTTTTTTTTATGCATGCACAGTCACTACTCCAAATAGATATATATAATATATATGAAAATAACTAAAGGCTCGTATTTATATATCCGTTAGTTTTGATCTAAAAACAGTTTTTTCGAGGTGAAAATTCTTTTTTTACTATCAAATAATAACGGATATATTAAAGGAAAACCTATAATGCTTACAGAAATTAAAAAAAGGAGTTTTTACAGAGGATAGGACTCGAAAATCGCGAATAATGCACGTGTTTACGGTTTTTTACAAGTTTTAATTTTTGGGAAAAATATTATTGGAATTTTTTATTTTAATTAAAATTTTTATTTTTTATTTTAAAAGTCAAAATTTTTTTAATTTTCATATAACTATTTTTTTTATTTTCATGCATATGAATTAAAAGGTTCATAATTTTTTTTTTTTTTTATTAAATTTATACGAAATTTTTTTTATTAAAAAAAATGACAAATAATTTTTTTTTAACAAAAAAAATTTTTAAAACTTCTAAATGTAAAAATAAAAAAAAATTTTTTTGCACCAATTTATTCACATATTTTGCCTGTAAATCAAAACGCGTAATTCGTATCAACGGCATTCGCGGCCGAGTAAGTACCAAAAGTTTATCAATCGATAAACAAGTACTGAGTACTCAAACATTTAAGGACGGGAAAATGGGCGAGCTCCATTCTTTATTTTGACCACTTTCGCGTATTTTCCTTTCTCATTATTTTTAATTCCATATAACTTTCTTTATTATTATTTTTTTCTGACAGGGATTGCACCCTCTCTCACTCGATTCCACTCAGTCTCTAAAAAAAAATTTTGCGTCTGTACATCGCGGTGGCTAGCATCATCTACAACCCATATATATGTAATATTAATAATCATAATGATAAATATGTTAATCATAATTTACAATACACGACTGAATAAAATTGCGACTAAATAAACAATCGGGCAGACCATGCTGTACCTTAGGACATGATCAACAAATAATAATAAACAATATATAATATAATATATGTATATAAATAACGACAATCCGAAGCCGCAGCCCTCGGGGGTAAATTGCAGCTACTAAAAACTGCCAAACTCTTACAGTACCTCATAATCATAATAATAATAGTAGTAATAATACAGTTATAATATGTAACAAAAATAAAAAATTACTCTATCGCGCAAGACGGATAAATACAGATGCGCAATCACCCAACACTTTTATGGTAAATATCCATAATTAAATATATAATCATAATCATAATTAAAAAAAATAAATACACAATAATAATAAGTGCACAAGATATATAAGTGTGTGAAAAATATATAGGCATTTATATATAAATATATAATAATGACAATACGTACGATCGATTTAAACATTTGTATGAATGTTGATAATAAACTTACAGACACTGATGAAATAATAATCGGTCGTGTCCCATGCATAGAGCGTGTATGCCAAAAACGACCTTATTACAAAATATTACATTCCAACCAATTAACATTTGTTGTGATATATATAGTAATATATAATATAATTAATTAATTAATATATGATATAATTAATAAACTTTAGTATTTATAATAATAATTAATAATAATAAGCTTTAAGTGGTCTTTATTACAATGGAAGTGAAAAAAAAACTCGACAAGGTGCTCGTGATTACAAAAAAAAAGTACAAAAAAATTTGTTTTTTTTATTATTATTATTAATGGATGGTCTGACAATGTTCCATCCAACGTCCTCTTGTCATGGACAACGGCTCACCAGTAAAAAATCCTCTTCAGTATAATTATCATAATTTTCAGTACCAACTATTGACCGATTTAGGACGCATATAGCTTGATAATTAAATTACCAAATTTTTACACATTAACAATCGATTGTATTGGTATTCAAATGTACCTATAGTAATCACATCACGTATATTTCTTTATTTGGTTAGATAATAGACTTATTCAAATTTAAATTCAAATAAATAAAAATTCATTTTTTTCCTATAACTTCTCCCCAATTTTTTTTTTATTTTTCATTTATCATTTTTATCGAGTTCGCAGAGATATAAAACGCCTGATAAATTAATATTGCCCTTATCGCTTTGTCATCTATCACGTCCTATTGCAGGTCGTCTAAGTAACTAAGTTTTTTTCATTAATCAATGCTTCTTTGATGTAAATTTTGGGAATTATTACTGAGAATAAATTTTAAAATATTCTAGACGCCCTTCGAAAAGTGAAAAATAAATCATACAAAATTTATCTTTCTCATAAAAATAAATTAAAACCTAGAAAAATTTATCAACATTGCTTTAGCCCTTCAAAACTTATCTAATCACCCTGGTGTAACTTTTTGCACCGCTAAAACTTCAATTTAGCATCACCCATCTTTCTTTTCCTATTTAGTCCCAATTCCGCTTAAAAATACCTTTATTTTTTCGTAAAAAAAAATTTATTCCCACAATTTCGCATCAAAAATATACTTAACAAAAAAAAAAAAACTAGCTTCCGACCTGTAAGCGACGTAATTTGAGATTCTTGTTCGTCTCCACTCACTCTCTCATTCACACACTCAACATCTCACGAACAAGTCTTGTAGTAAACAAAAAAAAAAGCAAATACTCATCCAAGATTTATTCAGTGAGATGTCGAGTCACCATTGACACATAAGGGTGCTCAAAAAGGGTGCTTTCGGTGTGTAGTGCTCGACACGTCAAATAGTGCTCTAATACCGTGAAACTTAATCGCCACACGTACACGCATTATTCGCAATAATCTATCATTAATAATTCATAAATATTTCGATAAAAAACCGGAGCATAATTACAAAATTTTCGCGGCGACTATTCAAGTGCAGGCCGCTAGTGAATGGCTTTCATTGGTCAACAGATTGAATTTATATATGTGATACACACGAATATTACTTGTACATGTGGCATTGAATTGTGCAGTGGCGCCCGGCGCCCAACAGTGATTGAAGTGAGCGTACGCAATATTGCGGTATTAATTTGGTGCTTCACAAAGTGCGAGTACATATACATATGTTTGTATATATTTCTATATAATAGACGATGCTTCCAGCAGTGCTTTATTTTAGCTTTATTTTTTTTTTTTTATCAATTATCCTCTACTTTCCTCCTTTTCTCCCTCTCTCTTTCTCTCCCTGGCGCCCAGTCACTCGGCGCCGAGTCTGCACTGGATTCAGATTTACCAAAAGGGACTTTTTATTTAGATTTTTTTTTTATCGATATTGAAATAATAAATATGATAAGTCATCGGGAAATATCGGGTAGTTTATTTCAATAATAATGAGAGTTTGGATAAGAGGATTTCGGGAATTCATCCGATGGCTTTTTTATTTTTCTTTTTTTTTAAGGGTTGCTCGATATTTTGGTTGGTTGATTGCCAGAATAAGTGTGTGTGAAAGAACATGCGGAATTCGGTGTTTTGGGCTGGATAAAAGGGAGAAATAAAATTCCCATGCATCGGCATGCCATTCATTGGATTTTAATGAAAACAATAAATTGGCGATATTGATGATTATCGAAACATGTTGATTGAAATGTCAAATAATAGAACAAAATTAACCGAACGAGGGAGCAGACTCGGCGGAATGTTCATGTTCATATTATAATTATCGTTAATAATTATAATTGTTGTTATTAATTTAATTATTAACTTTTAATACTCTGATAGTGTATCGCGAATGGAGAATTATGTTAATTATCAATTATTAATTATTAACAATTGTTATTTTATCGTGAGAGAGCTCGATTGAGGGCTGTCAAGGGTGCTGGTGACGTGATAGTGGTCGTGGTGGTAGTGATGGTGACCGGAGGAATAAAAACAAACTTAATTGCATGCACTAACATGTGCAAACGATAAAACTAAAATCTTTCTTTTTGGTACTAAAGACAGCAGAGCCTTATCAGAGATGTAGAAATGTGTTATTAATATTTTAATAATAATAATAATAATTATTGTAGTAATAATAATAATAATAAATAGATAGAGATAAATAATTGAGTATGAAAGTCACATTCACGTGTAATGAATTGAATTTTGTCAATTGTGATTCGTGATTGACGGTGTTATTTTGTGGATATTCAATTATATTCGTAGTAATTGTGTAGTGGGATGAATATTTTGTGTTAAAAGGACAAATTTTATTGTTGTGTTATTGTCATTTTATGTTACGATTTTTTTTTAATGATTTATTCCTTTTTTTTTTCTAATAAAAACTATTTTTATTTGATAAAAAAATGAAATTTTTTAGTTAATAAATTCAGCAAATATTTTAGAAATTTTTTTTATTAAAAAAAAAAGGAATAAAGGTAAATTTCTAAGTGAGTAGATGTTTGTTTAATGTATATATATATAGAAAATATGAAACTAAATATAATAAGAGTGTAAAAAAAAACGGAGTGTTTTTTAAAATAGAAAAAAGAAACTAAAAAGTCTTAAGTAGTAGCTGTATGATAACCTGGGCACATCCTCCTGCAAATGCTTTAGGAAAAGAAAAAAAAACACGTGAGCATTCATTAGCGTTGTTTAAATAAAAGTAAATACGGTATTTGTTTTGTTAATTTATGTTGTTAATTCTAATTTTAATTAACGGTTTAAATGAACAAACAAAATAATGTAAATAATAATAATAAAAAATAACAAAAAGGACGACGGCACGACACAAAGAGAAACGCTCTATGAGCCACCTGGAAAAATTATTAAGAACTAGGTCTCTCTCGTTTGGCGGACAAAAATAATTATTATAATTAATAATTCATAGTATGATTAATTGTAATTAAATATATGGTAATTAAATGTGTTAATCAGCATCTGTAAAATAATCCGTGGGTCTCTGGTTCGAACCTGGAAAAAAATCTGGATGCATACCATAGGGACGAGGCTGTAAAAATTAATTTTATAAAAATAATAATCATGACAATAATTAAAATAATTAAATAAAATCCGCGGATAAACCTCGTCCTCGTGGTTTCATTACAACGCAAGCATTCCAACTTAAAAAAATTAAACAAATAAATTACACCGCATTTTAGTTTTTTTTTTTTAATCCAAGGAACCAAGGTATCTTTTTTTAATTACCTAGTTCCCGTGGTTTTAATTATTTATTTAGTTTTATTTTTTTTTTGTTAATTATTACGCGTTAGCATTCCAAAAATATAAAATCCAGCCAAAATATCAGGCCGACTTATTTCTCTCCCGACTTTCGATTCGGGAATAAAATAACGTGCAATAATTGATTTTGCGTATCAAATAATAATAATAAAAAAAAACTAATTAATTTAAAATTCTCCAATTTCACGAAAAAATAATTAAATTTATCAATAAAATATTTAAAAATCGAGCATTCGTTGAATTTTCAGTGTGCGCGGCCAAAAGAAATAAAATAAATAAACGAAATCAAATAAAAAACTAAAATTATAATGATAATAATAAATGTCATCAATACGAAGTTTTGTATTTCAACGTTTGGATGGATATATAAACCGAAAGAGTGTATATTTCTGTATGTACACGCAATTTATTTTGAATTTGAAGAATTAATTAAAAAAAAAAAAAAAGTGTGTGTGTATAAGGTTATTGGAGTATTGGGAAAATACAGGACCTCTGAAAATACTGTTAATATTTTTTTTTTTCAATTTTTTTAAATCCAAACTTTTTTTTCTCTATTTAGGTTCCAATTTTTCGCCCCGAAGTTAATAAATAAATTTATAAAAATTGCGACGTATTTACAAAACCAAAGTCCGAAAGCAATATGGCGGGCTTTTATATTTTTGGTTACAACTTCGCCTTATTTATTACTCGCTGGTACCAAAGAATCTAATTATTAAATTTTTTTTGGTATAAAAAAATCTTTATTTGATTTTTAAAAATAAAATTTTACATCTTATTTTATTAATAATTAAAATTTTTTTAAATTTTATGACCTAAAAAAATTTTAAGAGCTTAAAAATTTAAATTTTATACTAAAAAAATATTTTAGACCGTAAAAATATTTTTGACTGTGAAAATTAATGGATTTTTTGGTCCCACGAGCAAACTTTAATAGCCCACCACCATGACCATTAATAATATGAAGAAGAATAAATTTTTTTCGTTGAATATCACAGATACATACCGTCCTCATCAGTTTTGACAGTGATAGGGTAACTCGGCGGTCCGTCACCAACGCTGGTGCCCGCGACAACCCAAATTCTGTAGGCGGTCCACTTTTTCAATTCGTCCAGAACAAACTCGGTGCTGTTAAGCTTGATGACCCTGGCCTCTGAATCAGAGCGCCCGGTCTCGACGACCTGGAGCTTGTAGTACGCGATCCGTCCGTTACTGCTCTCGGTCGGCGGCGGCTTCCATGAGACTTTAATAGCGGTCGTGCTGATGGCGTGGCCGGTGATATTCCGAGGCGGAGCCCCGGGTACTGTATAACACTCATTTGTAGGAGGGAAAAAGTACAAAACAAAATATTGTGTAGACATTAAGTACCACATACGGCCAATCCATACCTTTTTTATCTCTTTCTGTATCCGATATGTAATACGTAATACGTGATACAACAATCAATCATCAATCAGTTAATATTATTGAGCCAGATTATTTAGAAAATAAATAATGCGGTTCAATTATTATAAAATTCATTTTTACTATTTACAATGGATTGCAATGTGGGACGAAAAATCATCACCAACAAAAATAAAATCATAAGAAAATAAAATCTTAACTAATAAAATTTTTTTTTTAATATTAATAATAATAATTATTATTATCAGATTAGTAAGCAAAGGCTAAAATCCTTAAACAGTCGAAAGTTACTTGATTAATATTTTATCATTACGTACAATATACTGTATATATATATATATATATATATTTATGGATATAATATATAAGAGTATCTTAAGGCTCCGTTAAGATATAAAAGAGCACTTTCAGTACATTAAAAATGTATCGAAGTAAACGAGTAAACTAAACTTAAGAACTCACTTAAATAATAGATTATCAAGAATGAAAATAGAGGTGCTCAAAATGCACACATATATCGATGCAGTGCTTAGTGCAATTTATAATAATAATAATAATAATAATAATAATAATAATAATAATAATATATACTTTAATAATAATAATAATATAATAGATAATAAATATGTATAATAATAATAATTAATAATAATAATTAAATAGTAGCATCCAAAAATGGCATTATTATATTTTGCAATGCATGCAACCATTCTCACTCTCCCACACTTGTCGCCTCAAAGTCCAACTTTACCGGCTTGATAAAACTCGCGGCCGCGGAATTAATAGAATTGACTTTAATAGATATTTTTGTAACTAGCTTACTGGCGGGAGCTTCTACCGATTTTTTTAGAGTTGATAATGTCAACTATCTAGTCGGTTTTTAGTTGTCTAGTCCTACCTGCTGCCACAACTCGCTACCGCATCATCAGAGTATTTTAGATAGTTATTGACGCGAAGAGCTAGAATAGTACGCTATAGTATAGATAGTGGAGGGTACTCTGATGATGGTTAAGTAGAATGTTGGTACAAGTTAAGTGTGGCTACTCCTCGCTGCTTGAGAGTATTTGGTATCGGATTTGCTTACCGTACTGTTTGGTGCGAACTTCGTATGGGACGGTGGTTGCACCCTCCCCGCGCTGGCTCCGGGCCGCTAGCCACACGTAGTACAGGGTGTTCGGGTACAGACCGGTTAGAGTGTAGTTTTCCGTAACTCCGATTCTGCGGTGGTGTTTTTCCTGAAGTTTTAGAGATAAGTTTTTGGTTTTATTTTTGGTAGAAATTTATTTCTTTTAAATTGAATAAAAAATTATTAATAAAATAACCAAAATTATAGGCTACATTTGAAAATTCTCTATCTCTAGATACATAATTAAGAAATGGCCTTGTATCTTGTGAAAAATTGACATTTTTCAAGATATAAGCTCATCCCGATGTTACACTCATCAAGACCTTTCATTTGAGTACCCACATCGATTTTTCATATATTTATATATATTATATATATGTATATATGAAAAATATATAAAAATGCATGTGGGTGCTCAAATGAAAGCTCTTGATGAGTGTAACATTAGGATGAGCTTATATCTTTAAAAATGTCAATAATTAAAAAAGTACAGTGCAATTTAACAAAAATCATTATTTAATAAAGCAAAATTTTATATATATAAAAAAATTTTCCTTGAGTATGAAGTTTTTTTTAATTTGATATAAAAAATAAATTTTAATAGTTAAAAAAAAAATTTTTTTTTTAATTTCTATAAATAAATTTTCACTCCAATAATTTATTTATCAAAAAAATCCCTCCGAATTTCGAACACAATAGTAATAAAAAAAAAAGTTAAGTACCTGAGCATAAGTATCGTTCCAGTATAGCTCATAGCTGAGAATATTTTCAGCACTATGAGCGGGTTTGCTCCACTGAAGCGTGACCGAGTTTTCCCCGACATCAACAACGGAAAGATTTTCCGGCTGACTCGGCACCCCTTGCTGTGTCTTTATTTGTATTGGCTGGCTCAGTGGACCAGGACCTACGCTCGTCAACGCTTGCACACGGATCGTGTACATTGTGTGGGGCGTAAGATCCGATACAGTGGTCAGCTGATTGTTGTCCACGACCCGGGACTGCCAGGAGGCCATCGGCTGGTTCGGGTCCGTCGTGTAGTACACTTTATAGCCCTGTTGTAATGCAATCGGTTATTTATTGCCCTCTTAAGCTCCGCCATCATCATCAATAACAGCCCCGACAAATTACGGATAAATTTTCCTTTTACTTAGCAATAATAATATTAATAATAATAACATCAACAACCATAAATTTTATTCCTCTAATATCGTTCATTTAAAAAGTTAGATGCACTTAAAAATTTTTTTTTCTAATTAATTAAAAAATTTCTTAAAAAAATTCCCAACTTTAATATTAAATTTTTTTTTTATTTTTTTATTTATTTTTTTTATTAATTTATTAATTTAAAAAAAAAAAATAAAAACTACCGTGACTTGGCCGTTGGGTGTCTCTGGCTCGTCCCACTGTATCACCATAGTACTAGAGCTCAGCGGTCGAACCTGGACTTTGCGTGGAGCTGAACCAGGTCCTAAAAAAAGAGGGAGTAAAAATTTAATGAAAGTGGAGATTTGTCCGACTCATTTATTACTCCCTAAAACTGAATTAGTGAAAATTCGTCAAATAAGTGAATATTCACTTAAGTGCCAATCGAGCCACTTTTTCAAGTCAGTGGCTCGGTTCTCACTTAAATAAGTGAATATTCACTTATTCATGTTTAGAGAGTAAATTATAAGTTTTTATCTCTTGAAATCAGTAATACAGTTCATCTAAAAGATAATAATCATAATAATAATAATAATAATAATGCAGAATCTGATAGATGAATATGTAAATAGCGATACGAGTCACGCACTATTGCGTGAGTGCACTTCTCAGAAAAGTATCTAGCGAAAGAGGTGCAGAGAAGTCTTATGCTAAGTGATGACACAAACGATCTATGGTGATTAGTGATGAAAAAAAAAAAAAAAAAACTACGTGTGTTTGGTGCGTAATTACGTAATTGCATTAGAATACGAGCAAATTCAAATAATTAAAAAGAATAAATCATTTTTATTTTATTTTATTATTTAATTCAAACAAAAGTCGAGAAAATACGGTGTTACTACTGGCACTCTTAGTACTTTATTAAACTTACTGGAACCTCCATTTGTTGATTCCGCTAGAGAGAAAATTATGGTTTAGTATTTGATATATTTTTTTTTATACTGTCTCGACTCAACACACGGAGAAAACACGTTTTTTTTTTGAAATTTTATTTAAATAAATGAATAAATAAATCAACAAAATAATCTGTCGGTTATTAATTGGATTTTGTTGGTTAATGAAGGCTAATGGTAATGAACAATGATCGGCCAATGAACAATGGGCTATGTTTTCTCCATGTCTGATGAAATGAACATGAGTTACTAATACTAGAATACTATACAGAAAATGTACATAAAAAAAAAAAATTATCAGGTAATTTTTTGAATTTTTGTTCAATTTTTTTCTGTAAAAAAAATAATGTACATACTGCAGACTATTTTTTGCCATAATTGCTCAAGAATTTAATTTAAAAGACGAAAAAATAAAATTTTTATTAATATTCAAGTTCTCGTCCATGTTTAAAATATTTAAATAATTTAATCTTGGGAATTTTGGACAATAAATGATGTTAAATTATAAGAATTGCATTTTTTATAATTTAACATCTTCATTTATTGTCTAAAATTCCCAAGATTAAGTTATTTAAATATTTCGGCTGCCCAATTTTAAAACACAGTAACTGCAAAATTTTTATACCTGATTTTTTTCAATATTGCTGCATTTCTTATAACTTTAAGACCTTAATTTCAAGTAATTTTTCTTAAAAATATTTATATTCAAATATTTTCTATTCATAAATCAAATTTTTTATCAATTTCGCGCGCAAACTTTTTTTTAATAAGAAAAATTTATAAAAATTGTCAGTTACTGTGTTTTGAAATTAAGCAGTGGATTTTTATTAATTAAAAAAAAAATTGAATTAATTAAAAATAATTAAATAATTATTTTTCTGAGCAAAAACAACAAAAATTATCTAATCAGGGTGAAATAAATAAAATTCCTTGTAACTTACACATGTGACAAAAGTGTCCGCAGGACGCATGAAAAGAAAAACGTAAACCCTCAAAACAATGTTGCTCACGATAATAATAATAATTAACTTAATTTAAAATGAATATTATGATTAATCAATAATCAGAGAAAAATCAGACATGCAATAAATGAATAATGATTAAGACGAATCACTGAAATGAGTAATGAACTTTTTACATGTTAGTGATGATAATCAATCGCATTAATTACAATAGTATTGTATAGCGGTTCGCTGTATGTATATGTATATATATAAAAAGTAATTAATCGGTGAAATAATAATAACAACTGGAATAGTTATTCCATTTTACCGTGTAGCGGTACGGCTTGAAATGTAATGGAGGTTAAAGTGATTAATGATTAACAGATAATAAACTAAAGTAAAATACTGACTCGTTTCGCCGGTGGTGACGTACACGGGGTGACTCCGGGGACCTCGTCCAATCACATTAACAGCAATTACGTACAACTCGTAGTCTGTGTACGGACTGAGACTTCTTACGTGGTAATACATTGTCGTAATTCCGGATGTCTCTGCGAAAGCTTGGTTCGCATTTTTCGGCTTGTGCTGGATTACGTAGTATTGCAATTCGTCTGGTCTTTTGTAAGACCAGGTTAGTTTTACGGATGTTGCTGTTATTTCGGATACTTGGACGTTTTCGGGTGCTCCCGGTAAAGCTGCATTATTTAAAATTTTAAAATTTTAAATAAAAAATTTTATTTAATTATTTCGATCAATTCTTCAGATAAAAAAAATATATTCTTAATAATTATTCTTCGAAAAAAAAATTAATTTTTTTTTTTTAATCGTATTTAAAAAAAATATCGATAATTATCTTTAAAATTTTTTTTTATTTTTCTTAAAAATTAATAATTAAAAAAAAAAAAATAATTATTTAAAAAAATTTTTTATTAGTATTTTTTTCTGAATGTAAAAATCATCAATTACACTGTTAAAAAAAAAAAAGAAAAAGGAGGTAAAGTGAATAGAAAAGACTAACATTGAACTTTGACCATCGAAGAAGCTTCAATGAGTCCAAGATCACTAGCAGCGATGCAGGTGTAATTTGCGGACTCTTTTATTTCCGTAAGATACAGCACGTTTTTTCCAATGGGCAATTTATCTTCGGGCGTCATTTCCGTGGAAGGTTCCTTGCGCCATTTAACGTAAGGCATCGGAGAACCTACCGCGACGCACGTCAAGTTCAAAGAAGCACCCATCATCACTTCGCTGACAGACGGGGGTGGGATGGAAAAACTCGGTGGTAAACGTCTCACTTTAAATAGTTTAATTATAAATATTTCCAAGACATCAATTCAATAATTAGCTATTTTTTCCTATAAAAAAAAGCTTACCTCTAACGTAAAGCTGAATAGCCTCAGAATACTCAGTACCAACAGTATTATTAGCCACACACTCGTACTGGCCCTGATCATCGACCTCAGATTCTTCAATTTGCAGAGCGCCTGTGAAATAATTAAATTAAAAAGTCAATCAACGTAGTGGGGCTTAAATTAAGCTTGTCGAAAGCAGCTTTTACTTGGAACAATAGAGTAATGCGACTATTACCCCCCTTTCCCTCTCTCCTCGGTACAACCAACCACTGTAATTATAACAACAATAGCAATATTCTCTTCAATAATAGTGTTGCATATACCAGTCACTTTTACAGGGCTAATAGAGTTCTAGTAAAATGCATCAAGTATATTGTACAATGTGTAATACCAAAACACGTAATGCAAAAGGAGTAAGACGGCGAATGCAACAACTCTTGGAATAAGAAGGACAGGGAAGAATAAGGAGCAGGAGGAGTATTCGTGCTTAAACCATCAACATTTAGCACGATAGCTCAACCAGCTGATGAACTGGCTGTTGGAAAGCGTGTGATTATCTCAGTCCACGTCACTCCTTTAATATAATTCAGTTTAGACGGACTTGCCCCCTCCCTTGCCCTTCTTTCTTCCATGTCCGCTGAATTATTTGCCGGGCGAGCGACAGACAGACTCAACCTAAAACAAACACACGAGGAGTTGCCCGGTTAGGGTTGAGGGTGCAACCACGCAGCCAGTCAGCTAACCAAAGTATACAGCCAACTCCAGCGGCAATGTTTTTAAAGCCTGACACTCTGCAATACGCCCACATACTCTGCTACACCGTCGATAAAACACGCAATTTAAACCAACGTCATCCCACCCACCTGCTAGCAATACCGCCTGCTAGCTCCCTTTCCCTTCAACCCCTCGAACCTTTGCGTCTCTTCTGCCACTACCTCTGCCTCTGCCTCCTGTCTACCATCATTTCAACCAAAAACAACCCTGATCCCACTCATTAATCATTCAATAGACATCACCAGTACTATCGAATTTTACACATCCCTCATCGATTTATCCTATCACTACTTTCACTCTGACTACTGTGAATTTATTTACGACCTAACCGTACCTAAAAACGAAAACAGTTTCACTCAAAAATAGATACCAGGGTCATTTATCTTCCTGGATTGCTGATGCTTTATTTTTTCCACGAATTACAACCCGGCCTTTTTATTTTTTTATTTTTGTGATACTGGATCCAAGATTTGAATTAATTATCAAGAAAAACGCGTCGCTAATCCGCGGTTTGTATTCATCGGTTCATTCACGGTTTGTTCGCGGGCTGCCTGGACTTGTGAGCCACCTTTTAAAAAGGGAGAAGCGGAGGAGGTATAGAAATAGCAGTTGGAGTGGAGAAAACACTCCATCACGGGGGAGGCCAAGTGGGTCGGTATCGCCGTGATCGGAATACATAATCGCGCCTCATCTACAATTTCCCGTGAGGTCGGCGCTCGTAAGATATATACTCCATGCTCCATACTCTAGATATGGTAAGTGAACTCCGTACATGGACACGTACATGCATGGAGGGTGTACATAATAGCGAAGGGAATAGGGGATGCCCACGATCATGAGACGTACTTTCCGAACGACGTCCACGTGTTTTGAAATTTTCTAGTGAATTTTAACAACCGCAGTGACAATCAGGAACACCCGTTAGCTCGGTTATGTTTTTATTGACTCGTTTTTTGAAGTTATACTTCTTTTGGCGCGTTAGGCAAAAATGATGAGGGTAAATTTTTACGATGCGCGCGCACACCGTCACTAAAAACCGACATGATGAAGTTAGCTATAAGTCAACATTTTAGTTTTTCTAAAAAAGGTACCAACAAAGTAAAAAGGACATCTACGTATGTTTGCGTGAGAACTGACAACTGTATTCACAATATTTATTTATTTAAGTGTTTCTGAACCTACCACACGTGTTTTGTATCAGTCCGAATAAAATTCTATATACTAAAATTGATGGTAGAATGAAGTTAGCTTAGTATCGAAAACATGGACCCTGAATCCTTATTGGTTAAGATTAAGGCGCGCGCGTAGCACGCTATTAAAATTTCTAGTATATAAAAATATACATAAATATATATTTTCTCAAAAAACATTATAATATATTATAATAGTTTTTACATATTCCTTTGAATACGTTTATAGAATTTGGGGTTAGTTGACGGTATATATTATTTATGTACATTATAAACTAAAATAAATTTTCACATTCTTATTTAATGTCTGATAAGTTTATAATTAAATTAATAAATTAATAATAGATACAAATAATAATAATATTTAATTCCGAAAAAATTAAATTATTATAAATATTAAATTTAATTAAATGTTTCTTTCTTAAAATAATCTTAAAATTTTTAATAATAAAATTTATCGTCAGATTGTCCCATACATAGGACAACATGACGATAGTATTAAAATAAATTTTAATAAATATTTGGAACACACTAATAAACTTAATCGAATAATCAAATCAATTACATCGAGAAATAATTAAAAAAAAAAAAAAACAATTTAAAATAAATTTTTAGAAAGATAAAATTTTTAAAAAGATTTTTATCTTGTTACACCAAAGAAGTATAACTTCTAACGCGTGTACATAAGTACACACACACACACACTTTTTTTTTTTTTCATCGGTTTTTATTGCTCTTTTAGGTATCGGTTTGATGGTTTTATTTTTGAAATATTTTTACGCACGCATGAGTCAGTGGTTAACTTTTTACTGCCAGATTTTGTGGCTTATAATCACGATATCTCTGAAAGTAATTGATCAATTGACTAAAAAATTCATCGAGACTTCAAAGACATCTTATCAAAAGTTTCCACAAAAAATATGACACTGAAGTTAGCAGATATCTAAAAATTTTTGATTTTTTTTATTAATTAAATTACAACTAAAAAGATATTTATAAAAAATTGCACTTATAGTTTTTTAAGTTTTTATCATGTGCAATTTTTTTTTTAATTGTTTAATTGAAATTTTTTCAATAAAAAATTTGTAAATGTCGGCTAACATCATTTTCATCAAAAAATAGGTATAAAATTTTGACTAACTTCGCAATAATTGTAAATTAAAAATATTATGATTATTTATAAGAAAATTACACCTCCACCTTCAACCCGTGATTCCGCCTTGAAAACGCGAGATACAAAAAAATGTCTTTGAATTTTTTTTTTGCCGAAGATTTAATTTTCTACAGAAAAGCTTTATTATTTTTTCGTATCTCCAATACTCAACTCAGAATTTCAATTTAAAAATTCTCAGAGCTATTAATTGAAATTTCTCTCCAACTCTTGAAATTTTAAAAACTTGGCGAAAAATAAAACATTAAAAATATTGAAAAAAATGTAATATTTACATTGCATAACAATAACAGTAACCATTAGTTGGGCAAACATTTTACAAAATAAATAAATCCATTTATAAAAAAGGAATTTATCGAGGTGGAATCAATAATCGACAGATGATAAGAATTTTTCGCAACATTCCTCCGAATATTATCTCGTGAAAATGTCTACATTTACGTATTTATATACACACTACCAGGAGTGTAAGATTTTCACATTTTCCTGGCAGGAGATCTTATATATATATATATATATATATATATATATATATTAACACGTAAACATACCAATGCAGATCTAGGTACATGTATTTGTAAACCAATATTGAAATATCTTTTCTCATATTTAGTATTACGACGGTAAACACGAAACATATACAAGAAATATGTAGTACCCTCTAGGCTTCTTTCTGCTTTTCTTCCATTCGCATATATTTCTCCTCCATATAATATTTTCCATCTAACATTTCATATTACATTACAAACTCCATCGCCTCGATACTCTATGTACGATACTGCATATGTATCCTGTGTTCTTCTCGATGTTTACTTCTTCATGCACTTCTCTCTCTACACATATATACAAAAATATGTATAATGATAAAAATAATAATAACAATAATAATACTTGTACGCATACTTATGCCTCATACAGTTGATAGTGTTTGTGTGCATAAAATACTTGTACGTTTGTCGCAGTGCCAAGTAAACTATGCATAAAAAGCACCCCGATGTACTTGGGCTTGTATATATGCCTGCTAAATTTTCAAAAGGTATAACCTTCCGCTGAATCTAATCATCGTACCTTCCCAACTCTTTCATCCGCGGTTCCCGGGATTACTCAAAAATACATCAACTCGAAAAATATTCAATCTTTGCATTTAAATGATATATTTTCATAAGCCATTAAAAATAAAAATTAATATTTTATTCATTATTTTATTTTAAAAATAAATTTTGTGATTCAATTAAAGCTAAGCTTGAACCCAACTCAATCGAAATCTCTGCATTGGGATTAATAATTAAATGATACTACCTGCAACATAACATCGATTTCGAGATTATTAGATAATAACTTAATAGAATTTATAATCGCAATCGCGCATTATTCAAAATCAGATTTACGTATTAGCATTAGCTTAGTACAGTGTTTATAACTAGAGCTCTCCTTAAAATATTAGCGTTTAGATTCCAAATTTAATTTATTTATTGTCTCTTAAAAAATAATTATACACTGAAAAAAAAAAAAAAATAATTAATTTGATTTTAGAGAAATATTATTGTTACATTTACTTGGAAAAAAAATTATATAGATTTTTTTTAAGTTTAATTAAAGTTTACTTGATCGAAAAATTAAAAAATTTTTCTTTAAAAAAAAAACTTTTAAATAATTTTTTTATCAAAAAAATAATCACATTTATCAATTCAATCATTTACATTTTATCGTTTTTTTATTTCTTCTTTCAGAAATTTTTTTTTTGACAAATAATGAGAATACTGTTTCTGTTACGTAAAAAATGCTCCAACAAGTGTTGTCAGCATAGCCGCGTGATAATAATATGTATCTTTAGTAATACTAACTCAGTCCTCGCCCCAAGAAAAGACAAAAAAAATAAAACACGGGTAATCAGATCCAGCTGATAAAAAAATAATAAACCGAGGGATTAACCCAGTCCATTAGCGCCCTGAGCAACTTATCTCTCTTTGTATTTAATCGGGGGAGAAAATAAAACTGATGATACACAAAAAATATGCTAACGCAGCGACCGAAAGGGGAAGGGGGAAAATGTCAATAAACATCTCCTAAATAAAACCCAACGGGTAGATTTATATTAGAGGGTGAGTTCTCTGTCAGAGTTTTCGGAAAGTTTTATAAAGCGATGAAAAATGTGCCGTAAATCGATTATCACCGAGTCTCTTCTTTATCATGTCCCTTATTCAATACATTTTTGAAATTACAATACCGCAGTGCGTCTCAAGAATGAAATGACTAATGACTTGACGATTTAAGCGCCGGATTATTCATTGCCCAGCGATTCGGTCCCTATTACACTTCTCGCAGCTAACCGGGTTAAGGATACAAATAGCTGATAATGTCTCAAGTCTCGAGAAAAATTCATTCTCATTCCCCTCGACAGCTCTGTATTTGAGATAAGAAAACTGCTTTTTCATCATCTGCAGCTCGAGTACTGTTCAAAAGTCCCACTAAATTCTATCTTGTATTTTTGCTATGACGAGTTGTATGAATTTTTTTTTTTTTTATTTAATCATAATTTTTGAAAAAATTCGTGCCAAAACTTTTAGTTAAATTAAGAAGTGATAGAATCGATTAAATTTTTTATTTTTGAGACTGTATTACAAAAAATAAAAAATAATTTAGTATTAAAAAATATCGACTGACATAAAGTAT